TATTTTTATTTGTTAAAGTGAATTTAAAAGAAAGAACCAAGAATAATATTCTTTAATAATATGTTAATTAGGAAGAAGATATGTTTAAGAAGAAAAAAAATAATATATTTATTTGGAAAAGGACATTTTTGGACCAAAATATTGACTACAAGGGCATTTTAGAACCAAAATATTAACGGTAACGACATTTTGAGTCAAACTATAAACGGAGGGCATTTGTGTTCCTTTTACATAGTTTAAGGGCATATTTGACCCTTTTCCCAAAAAATAATTCTAAAATTCATGTGATTTATGAAAAGTAACATAAAAGCGCTACTAAATTTAGTATGAATTTTTGTAGAGAATATGACATAGAATGAAGGGTTCAGATTCTTTAGGTGTGTACTTCTTTATCAGCTCCTCATCATCTATAATCTTAACCACACTGCACACTTTATCATGATTATGAATGTTTGAGCTCTTGAAAATCAACTTAAACATGAGTTTTCTTTGAAGAATAGTATCTAAATCTGATGGATATGTATGTTTTATTTAAAACTTTATGTTTCATATTGAGTTTCAGTAAACTATTTTGACAATTTTTTAGTTTTAATGTTTGTGTATGCTTGAGTTACTTTTCTGCTTAGTAGTCAGTCAGGACAAAGATTTGCTTGGGACCAACAATGGTTCTCAAGTGTCGACCAAATCCAGAGTGTAGACTCGGAGAGTGACATCAAGTTTTACAGTATTTTTGTTATTGTTATATCGCTGATTAAGTCTACCGTTTTTTCTAAATTTGTAACCTTTTTGTAGAATATTGAAAGAGATATAAAGAGAATTGTATTAAAATTTCAGTATCACAATTTAAAGCAGTAGATGTCGTAGTTTGAAGAGCAATCATAAGGGAAGTTGTAGACATGGTTCGTAAATATTTATACCTATATATAATGATAGTTTAAGGGCCGTTTGGAAAGCCATCCTGTTAAATTGAATTTAGTGTAATTGGATGTAATTACACTCTTTATCCTCAAAGGCGAATTCAGGATTTAAAGAGCTTGGTGCATCAATAATATCTTAATTTAAGCATTAACGAATTTTTCAATGACGATTAATGGATGATAGCGAATTTTTTAATGACGATTAAGAATAATGTCGTATTCGATTAGTTATTAATAGCTATTGGATGATCATGAGTTCGAATCTCCCTATTTAACAATTTTATTTAATGTTATAAATAAATACTATTCTCCTTTTGTAATAAAAAGAGTAAAAAAGTAAAAAATGGGATGTTAACTAGGCTCAACCCCAAGCTGCAGGGATGAATTTCCTTGCTTCTACCAGCAGACCAAAGTAGTTTTATGTTCTCTAAGGGTGCACTCTTTCCTATATTCCCTGTTTATATCAGTTTCTTGAGATAAATGTATATATATATACAAGATTATTTTCGAAGTTAACGGGTGCATGTGCACCCCCACCTATACATGTGAGTCCGTCCCTGTTTGTCTTGTTTGGTTGTCCATGTAATTACATGGTCAACAGGTAATTGGGTGCAATTACACTCTTCAATTAAAAGGGGAAGACTGTGAATTGCTAGTAATTACATGGTATAATTACAAGCTGGTTACTTTTTAATTTTTTCCTTTTGGTTCTATTTTTATTTTTTCATTTTAATGTATTTTTTATTATTTTAAATTCTTTTTTATTTTTATTATTCTAATATTTTCTTTAAAAAAAATCATAAGTATAATTTTGTTAGTATTCTTATTTTTAAATTAAAGTAGAATTCATTGTTGAATAAAGTTATGGATTTATATTTTCCTTTTCTTTGAAATCATATTTATGTATGTTACATATATTGAATTTTGACGAAAGAGTATTATGTTAAATTTTTTGTTTTGAATTTAGAACTTATGTTATATTTTCAATTTCATTTGTTTTAGAAGTATTAACTCAGTATTTTACATAGCAAGCTATTTTTAAGTTAGACTTGATAGATTATATTTTTGCTAAATATTTTATAATTTATGACATTATATTTATAGCTTTTTTTTGGTCAAACATGCATTACATGATGTTCATAGAAATTCTATAGTTTTAGTTTTTATGATTAATTTAATTAAAATATACTAAATTGAAAAATATAAATCAATTATTTTTTACAATATTAGTTTTTTTTGGGTTTCCTGCCCGGTGTCCGGAGTCTACATTGGAGTTAAGAACATTTGTTTATTCATTAATATATTTTCAAAAAACAATATATATTTTAAATATTCAATTTAATATAATTTATAAAGTTCCCTTATTTGTCTAATATAAATTATTTAAATATAACCTTATAATTACATTGTGCAACCAAACAATACATGTGTAATTACACTGTGACAAATAAACATGTTGGTATAATTACTAGGCTATATAATTGCTAGGCTAGTAATTACTACCTTTGTAATTACACAAATTCTAATTATCAGGTGCTTTTCCAAACAGGCCCTAAATCTTTTTTTGTTGATTTTCTTAATGTATTTTTCATATGCTTATTGGTTATTCACAATGTTTTGGATTAGAATGTGAAAGTGAGAAATAATGGAGATATATTAGGAGTTGATAACTTTCAAATTTCATAATTATAGATCAAATTTTTCTTCCTCTACGTCTCAATTATAATGTGTAGAATATTTTTTGTGTGTTTTTTTTTTTATGTAAATATCATTTTTTTTGTTAATTATGGTTTTCCTTTTTATGTTTATTCAATTACTTGTATTGGGTAGTTTTATGTGCATCAGTTCTATTATTCTTTTTTTGGGGCATTTTTCATTTGTTTTTTTTTTTAAATTCTGAATATTTTTGTTTAGAATGTGAAAGTGATAAGTAGCTGAGATATATTAGGAGTTGGTAACTTTTCATTTTTAAATATTAAAGATTAATCATTTTTGTTGACTTTTTTCGTATGTATTTTTCATTTGTTAATCAGTTATTCAGATTGTTTTGGATTAAAATGTGGAAGTGAAAAATAGTGAAACAGAATTTATAACTTAATAATTTTATTTTTTAAAATTTTTTTATGGACATGGAATCAGTGGTATTTAAATCATGAATACAACTCTGAACATTCTAATTAACAATGAAAGCACATGTACAATTGTTTCAAATTGTAATTTATTATATGTTCATACAAAAATTTGCAAAAAACATGAATGTATACATGTCATATTTAAGTCATGAATACGATTCTGATGAAAAAGGACTAATTAATTAACTTAATGCCCAACAACGACGATTTCAGGACCAAATTGATCTTCTTGCCCATTAAAACCACCAGCACCAACGTAATTCTCATCACTATCATGTGCATCAGAATCATCGTTCTTGGGTTCTGTTGGAGTAGCTCCAACAGCTGCTGGATTCGAGTTCTTGTTAGCCGCCGCTTCTTCTGGGTTTTTATCTTCATCGGCCCATGTTTTTGTAACAAGGAGAGAGCAAATCATGAGTGTTAGGACAGACAAACCAAGAATTCTTCTATCCATTTTTTTTTGCTTTCTTTCTTGTTTTGTTTTGTTTTGTTTGTTTGTTTGTTTTGGGTGCTTAACATTTGAAAGAGGTTTGTAATTTATAAATAGAATTTTTTACCGGTTTGAGAAAATTAAGGTGAAAACATGTTGTCGAGCATATTTAAAGGAGTATGTCCTATGCACCAACAAAATTGCATATGTGCAAATTAATTTTTATACCATCAAAGTAATTATAAAAAATGTTACACCATTAATATATTTGATGGTCGTAATGGACTATCTATAGTTATATATCATATGATACATCCAAATTAAACTAACTAAATGACATAAGCGGTTGTTATCAAATATACAATCCAACAGTGTTGGATATCGAATCCCACTAAGAATACGATGAGAAATTGAACTCTATTTTTGTATTCACACTCTACTATCATCTCTATATCTATGGTGACAATTTATAAAATTGAATTTGAGTTTGTTTAGAAAGATTTTGGTAATTAGCAATTAATTTTAGAAAAGTTATAGAGTAGTTTGAAAATTCCGGTTTGATAACTTTAATTTCAAGTTAAAAATACATACCATCATCATATCAAATTAGTTCGGTATGCTTTGATTTTTTTAAGTTCGATTTTTGTATTTTACCATAAAGGTAAATCAGTAATAATAGTTTGTTCGACTTCGACTTATATATAAGCAATGATATAATAGAAAATTATGACTGTTGGCTTTTAAAGAAACATCTCAATTATATCGTATTCACATTTTAAACATTTAGAAATATATTCAAAAGAAAGTATACAAATTTTCTTAATTAAGTACACAAAAATGATATTTCAATCAATCTAGAGTTGTCAAAGTTTCAATTTCTAAAAATTTTAGTATTATAATAATACATATGAAGTGTATATATAAGTTTACATTTTGGTACATTATTTGATAATTTGGTTTTCTCTTTTTTATAACTGTCGAAAATCGTACTCAAAGTTAATATGTGTATTTGTGTATTAGTGTGCGAGATTGGGAGAGAGATAGAGGGGAGAGAGGCAAGCACGATTTGGGATATCCGTTATGGAAATGGGATATGATAAATATGGACTTCATCACTGGTTTGCCTCGCACTCCATGAAGGTATGATTCCATTTGGGTAATTATCGATAGGCTGACAAAATCTGCTCATTTCTTGCAAGTTAGAACGACATATTCAGCTGAAGATTATGCCAAGCTTTACATTCAAGAGATTGTTCTCCTTCACGGAGTTCCATTATCTATTATCTCCGATCAAGGAGCTCAATTTACAACACATTTTTGGAGATCATTTCAGAAGGTCTAGGCACTCAGGTAAATCTTAACACCACTTTTCATCCACAAACTGATGGACAGGCAGAACATACTATTCAGACGGTTGAGGATATGTTATGTGCTTGTGTGCTGGATTTTAAAGGAAGTTGGGATCAACATCTAACTCTTATCGAGTTTGCTTATAATAATAACTTTCAAGCTAGTATTCAGATGGCCCCTTACGAAGCACTATATGGGCGGAAGTGTAGGTCCCCGATCGGTTGGTTTGAGCTCGGGAAAGCAGATTTGCTAGGTCCCAATCTAGTCCAACAAGCAATTGAAAAGGTTAAACTTATTAGAGACCGGCTTCATACAACACAATATCGGCAGAAGTCTTATGTCGATGTTCGACGACAGAACTTAGAGTTTGATGTAGAAGATTGGGTTTTCTTGAAAGTGTCGCCAATGAAGGGCATCATGCGATTCAGAAAGAAAGGGAAGCTCAGTCCTAGGTACGTTGGATCGTATAAGATTATTCAAAAGATCGGTATGGTGGCATACGAGCTTGATTTGCCTTCAGAATTGGAAGCAGTCCATCTTGTATTTCATATATCTATGTTGCGGAAGTGCATTGGAGATCCTTCATGTATTATGCCCATTGAAAAAATTTGTATCGCTGAAGATTTACCTTATGCAGAGGTACTAATAGCGATTTTAGATCGGCAAGTAAGAAAGCTTCGAACTAAAGATGTAGCTTTTGCGAAAGTGTTGTGGAGAAGCAACAACGTTGAGGAAATGACTTGGGAAGCGGAAGAGGAAATGAGGAAGGACTACCCCCAACTGTTTATGACTTAAGGTGAGTCACATTTCGATAATTAGCAATTATTTCTTCACAATGACTTCATTAAATTTTCAGAAGCTCGAAAGTGCAATTTATATGTCTTCTTATGAGATAGTTATACAAAGATTAGGAGTTAAAATTTTCAGATTTTGACTTTAATTTGCGACTGTAACAAACATAGACTTGCAAATAAAGTCCTATGGAAAAAAAAATTCAACCAAGGAAATGTCTAGATCCATTCGCGGGCGAATGTTCATAAGGGGAGGATAATGTAAGATCCCGTACTTTGTCTCTATTCTTGCATAATATGTGTGGCGTAGTTTGGCATGGTTATATGAGGTGTATATGACTTGGTATAATACATTGGAGATTAAGATTTCAAATGAGTGGCAATATCAAGGAACTAAACTAACGTTTTAGGTCAAAGGGACCCCTCAAATAAAGTTCTAGATTAAAGAAATGGCTCGGGTAGAACTTTGCCCGTTTGAAAGGTTTAAATTATTTCATACCTTGGGGTAAACCTATGAGTGTCTAACATGCCAAGAATAGTGTGTTATGAGGTATTATAAAAGCACAAGGTTCGTATGTTATGTTTTGAAGTCAAGAAAATTAACGAAGCTAAGGTCGGCAAAAGTTATCAACGTTTCTCTAATAATATTTTCTTAACTTTGGGTCAAATGTCTTGGATGTTTTTTCCCAATATAAAAGAGTTAGAAGGCCCATGACCATTAAATCGAAGGCCTATGAGTCTAGTTTACAACGCACAAAACCCGTGTCCAACCGACATCGGAGTGAAGAGTTATGATGGTTTTACCGCGGACTGCCGGGGCAAAATCTGGGTCGCGATCCGAGTCGGGTAAAAAATGTGGTATATCGGCTTACTCAACATTTTAAGCCATGAAAACATTTATTTTCACTCCTTAACCAGAAATAAAACTTAAGAGAGGGATCTAATGGAGTTCTTGCATGATGAAGGTTAGTTTTTGACGATTTCTACTATTAAAGGTTGTCCCCGTGCCTAGAAACGTGATCTCTACACGTGGCAATCGTTTTCCCCTTTTATTAGCTACGTTTGGAGCTAGTTTTTGAAGATATAAATTGGTAGTTATTGGTGTTTCTTAAAGGTTTACACTTGGTTAACTAAGGTAATCATCTCGAGACTCTTTTATGATTGTTTTTATGAAGTTCTACGAACGTTTCGTCAAGTTGAGGCCATATGGCAAATCTGCCGATTTAAGCTCAATTATGAATTGTTTATAGGTGCGTACCAGCGGTGTATATATAGTATTTATGAAGCTTATGATATAAGGAATAACTTTCGTGAAGAAACTTTAGCCATTCGAGCGTTAATTGGAAAAGGTATGTGAAGGCTAAGCTCTGTCCCTCATTTTAATACCACTCCTGGGAAATTCCTAAAACGCCGAATGTGATATTTTGTTATTCTCTTGCTAGAAAGACCTTTAGTGAAAGGCATTGGGATCTCAACTGAATTATTTTGGTGATTCTATTATTTTGATATTCCACTCGTTCGGATAAATAGAGTATTCGATATCTACATGTCATTTATCGGTTTCCTTGACTATATGTCCGCATGTATGAATTCTTATTCTTCTTTGGGTGATGTGAATTAAAATATCACGGGAGACCCCTATTACTCGTAACCAACCCTTTTTCCCCACTAAAGTTATTATGAAAAATCTTTAAAGTAACTCACGATCTTCAAAACTCTCCAATATAATTTAAATGTTTAAACTATTAGAACACTTGTTTTTTGAAATACTTCTTTTATAAAGTATCTAGGAACCAAGATAGGAACTAAGTAAGTCACCTTAAACTTATTATGAATATGAGCAAGGTAAGGTTATTTTTCTAAAATTCGAGTTAACTTTTCAAGCTTATTTGGAAGAACATATGAGGTTCCATGAGATTGTTATATGTTATACGAAAGTTATTATGGGGTTATGAGAACAAGACTACAAACAAGCCAAGATTGGCAACATGAAGATGGTAACATATAGGTGTTATAAATTCATGACATGACCTGCTATGCATTTTACTTCCGAGCTATTATGAGGCCTATTGCTTATATTTATACGTATGAGACACTGATGGCCACATGTTGGCGTATATGATGTCAGTTATCTACCGGAAAGCACCATCATTACTAGTATTCGGTTGGGTATGTCATGAATTTGCATCTATATATATGTATACACGACATACGATTATACGAGCATACCATGCATATTTAAATGGTAGGAGGCCAATGTCAGCTAGGGAGATTATTTTATGTTCAATTTCAGGTGGTATCTCTATTACCATTTTACAGTAACTATTTATGATTTTACTTTCCGCTTTACATATTAGTACATTTTTATTCGTACTGACGAACCATTGCCTGGGGACACTATTTTTTGTTTCATACGAGCAGGTTCAGGCAGGGATTCTGATCGACCCATCCGGTAGGATTCAGGTTCAACTATGAGTTAGTAAGCTTCATCTTATCCTGGGGCCATCAGAGGAGGTTTACTTTTTTTGTACAGTTTGGGTATAGCCGGGGCATTGTCCCAACAATGCTTATGTCACTCATAGAGGTTATTGTGGACACAATATTCTGGGTTTTCTTTGTATGTTTCAATCTCCAGCCCATAGACTTGACATGTATATATATGTGGTAAGTAGGTATGTCTTCAGTTGTTGCCTCGTCGGCTAGCTAATACATCTTTATCTTTTGGCTTGTCTACCATTGTTGGTATGATTTATTCTCAGTCAGGTCATGACCTTCAGGGTCCAGGCTTCACTTTTTAGAGGTTGTGCTGCCCAATCTTTTTGTCTCACAGTTTTGTTCGCTAGTATGTTTTAGTGGGTAACTTGATTTAATAGGGTATCTAGTGGCAGTTACGCCCCCTATTTCAGGGTGTGACATCATAAATCCAAATACGCTTAGGGTTTTAGAAGAGAGTTCATTCACGTCATTTCTACGTTCTTTTAAGTTTTGAGTCAACTTCAAATGACCATAACTTTCAGCACAAAATGAGTTAGGAGACCCATAAGATATTAAATGAGAGGTCTTGGAATCCTCTTTTCGACGCCGCCGGGTTTTCTAATATTCGAGCTCGTATGAGGGAGATATGCCCTTTTGAAGTCAGGCTATCTATTTAAGAAAGTTACTCAAAAATAGGAGGGGTATTTTAGTCTTTTCCTTACCCCCACTTATTCTAGACGCTAATTTCACCCAATTAAGGGTCTAAAATAATTAGAATCAATTTCATTCATCCCCAAAGCATTTATGGGTCGTTTGGTACAAAAGTTAATAACGCAGAAATTAGTAATGTAGGGATTAGTAATGCAGAGATTAGTAGTGCAAAGATTAGTAATGCATGGTTTATTTTTACCAAGTGTTTGGTTCATTATTTCCCACATCATCTTGTGTTTGGATTAGAACTCTTTTAAAATTTTCTTTCCAATTATACCCTTGAATTATTATTTAATTAGGTCAAGGTAGATAATTGTCGGACAATATATCTTTTTATGACCTTCTAACTAGTTATGAGAAGAACAATTTTGTTGTCATGTTTGCTATTTTTTCACTTGAATTATTTGAGGATAAATAACTGTCATCTTAATAAATTGATCACTCACAAAATCTCAATTTTCAATTTTAAAATATAAACCATCTTCTTTTAAAATTGAAAAGACGGTAAAAAAATGGTAAAATTGAATAAACCATCTGCATTTACACATAAAAATTGCAAGTTATAGTTTTATATGTATGTAATTTTTTAAATTGTTCAAAATACAAATAATTAGAAAACCACACAAATATGTATGTATGTAAAATACATTCAATTAAGATCGCAAACGTCATGTAGTGATATATTTTCCTTTTTAATTAGTAAATGTTAAATAACTCATATTTCAAATTTGTATCAATTTGTATTGGATTTATTTAATAACAAACAACTCTCTCTAAATAATTTGTAAGCTAATTTATTTAAATAAATTTACTAGTACAAATATAAAGCATAAAATCAAAAAAAAATAAAAAATAATTAAAATGATTATAGGGATATTTTTGTCTTTACATGGACTTATCCCATGGTATTATATCTCATGTATTACTAATACCTCTAAATGGAAGGTATTAGTAATACATCCTATAATACCATTACGATGTATAACTAATCCATGGATTAGTTATACATAGCCTCAAATTCCTACCAAACATAGTACTAAATAATACCACACATAATACATGGACTATTTCTTCTAATGCGGCCTACCAAACGACCCCTTAGGGTTTTAGAGAGAAGATTCAAGAGGAGAAAAAAAATCAAAGTAGACTTCATTCAAGATTCTTTCAATGTTTTTCAAGATTCTTCTTCAAGGTAAATCTTTCTCCAGGAATTCCTTCTTCCCAACTCAAATTCCTCCATACAATTATGAATCACTAATGAAAATCATAATTCTTGATCATAGAGATTTCAAGAAACTAATTCAAGAATATCATGAAACGTTTTCTTGATTGTATACCTTCAAGCTTGGGTTTCAAGGATTCTAATCAAGTTCTTCTTCAAGATTTTTCAAGAACCTTGTTCTTTGAGGTATGTGTCACACCCTGAGCTACCCCCGAGACGCGACACGGGACCTAGGATCACAAGTGACCCCAACCTAACTCTGCTCGCATAATTATGAGCATACTAAAGATAAACTGAGAAATAAAACTGTTGCGGAAGCTAATAATAAGTAAATCTGAAATGATGGGGAATACACATATACTAAAATTGAACATCAAATATGAGAGTTTACTATAAAAGAAACATCAAACTCAAACACTAAGTTAAATCTAACTATGTCTGAAAATAGCCTCTAACTGACTAGAAGTGTTGGGACATGCCCCAACTAAGTTTAGCAAAACTGAGAATAAAAGACTGAAATAATGAAAAGATAACATGATTGTTGTCCTCGAAGAATGAGGACTCACCACTGATGCTGCTGAACTGGAGATCGGGAA